GTCTAGATGAGCTTCTTTTTCCTGAAGTACCCTTGAAGGTGCCACAACTGCAAAACCGACACCACGACGCAGACGCCCAGCGACATGATGCTGAACCAAGCAACCCTGCCGTTTGTTTTCTCGCTCACCTCCCTCATCTCCGCTTCCCTGCATGGACAGACCAAGGCAGTCACTGGCTGTACCGCCAACTTAAAAGTCTTGCACTTTTTTCACGTCACAAGCGCTTTCAGGACAAGTGTTAGCCATTTTCTAGCAGACAGCAGTCATACACCAAAAGCTTTAGAAAGTTAAAAGCCTCAGTTCAAGCAACAAACGATATTGCCTGAAACTTATGTCAAGTGTGGAAGACTTGCCTTGCTTTGAGGTATACCATGTTCTGATGAATCGACTGTACAGCCACTTCAAGCTTCCTAAGCTCTAGTTCTACGCCCTACAAAAATATTCATATTGCACACAATTAGAGACATGAGCAATACATGAAACTGGACCCCAGCGAGACCTGACTGATCGGTGGTTTGGCAATTCATAGCCTCACCTCTATTTTTTCCTTCTTAGCGATAGCATCCCAATCCTTTGTTGCAATTCCGGTCTTCCAATCAAGATTTACAGATACGCCTGATCCTTTCTCTGCACTATCTATCCAGAAGCAGGCAAGGAAGTTTCCAGCTTCCGAGGTTGTGAATGCAAATTGACCAACTGTAATGTTTCCACTTTCATGTAAGGTGTACCCATATGGTGAAGTAACCTGCAGAAAGCACAAGCATTTACAGAACTGTAACAAAGGAGAGTGCAAATCAAGCAAATTCTTAAGCTCACGCGGTTGGACTATAGGACTAATTCTTCCACTATTATACTGCAAATTGTCTTGATGAGTAAAAAAAAAAGCTGGCCAAGTTCTTAATGATAAGAAGCTAACATTTATTCATCAGCTGCAGGACTAAGTACTGTTCAACATGTAGCACAAATCAAAGTAAATTTTCCAATCACAGCAGAAAATATGGGTAAAACATCTGATCATGCTTCTAGATAGTTTTCAGTTATAGTGACAAACAATGGGCCATGGATGCAATATATCTGATCACGAAATAAACAATCTCTTCACATAACTAAAGCTATAAGATTCGACATATACGTCCATATAAAGTAGCATCAAATGTGTCTACTTGTTTGCAAGCTTGCACATTAAGTCTGCCCTTTATTTAATTTGCTCTGTCATTCCTTTTGCAACGATGCATTCTTATTAGTCACCTTTTTTACGCCTCACACCCATGAGATCTTATAAATAAAGAAGTCGGTAGAAAAGCAAATTCAGAATCCTGTGAGCCGAATCAGCCGGTTTATATATATGCTGCGGCGAGTGATGTCCTGGAAGGAAACCACCATGGCTTTAGACAGAAGGAATCACCGAATCAACATGGTTCAATTAACCAGAGAAATCTAGTGATCTCATCGGACCGAGCACCACAGCGTCATCGACTTAAAGAGCCGAGCAAATCTTGTTAAAAAATAGCAGCCAGATATTCTAGAACCATCATTCATTCTACTGTCGTCATATCGCACAATGAAAAACATATCTGAATAGACTGAACCATATGAGCACTGCGACATCATTCACACTAGCTCCGGTTCCAATCAACCGTAAATCTGCGTGCCGCGGCAGCCGCAGGCCGCAGCAAAACCAGGACCTCTATACCGCTGCTCCCCCCGACACACAAATCTAGTACCGCGTGATCAACTTGATTCGTCCAGATTATCGATCCGAGATAAATGAAAGCAATCCATCGCGCAGTGGAATCTATCTATCTGTATGGAGCACGAGGCGGGTAGGCAGCGATGGATTACCTTGACGGCGATGGTGGGGTGGGCGGAGGGGTGGGACTCGTACATGAGGGCGTAGTCGGCGAGCACCACCACGTTGGCCTGGATCTCCTCCGACACGCACTTGGTCCCGGTCTGCGGCATGTCGAGCCACACGGCCTCCGCGCAGATGGACGCGGCGGCGAGCAGCAGGGCCGCCGCGAGGGCTAGCGCCGCCGGCGCGGGCATCGCCGCCGATCTGGGAATCTCCGCCTCGCGGTGTCGG